ATATATATATATATATATTCGTGGTATAAAACTTTATTATTCATTAGCTGTGGTATATTTTTGTTTATCGAAAGTCTTTTTAATATTCCTTTTTTATTCCAACAATATTGACGCTTTCTCTATGCGATAATTTTATTAAGAAAAAATCGATTTTATAAATTGGCATTTGATTTTATTATGTTATGAGTTTATTGAACTAGTTTTCATAATCATTTTGAAATTGATGATACTTCAAAAATGCTTTTTTCATGAGTTTTATGTTCGTGTCTTGCATTTTTGGATATTGATAATCGCAACGATTGTTACAGAAGTAGTAGAAGACAAAATGAGAAGAAGTAAAGAGAAATAAAGTTTGTAACTGTAATGCGTCATCTGCAACTATTGTGCGTTATTGTACTTGGCAAGTGCGATTTCGATGTCGTGTTACAATGTGTCTCGAAGGAGGATGGACCGGATGTAGCCGGAGGCGAGATGATGATCGATCACCGACGCGACGGTCAATCGATCCGCGCGACATCGGGAACGTGGGTACGTCGCCAAGTGTGTCGATTTACTTGCGAAGACAGCAGGTCGGGAATATCGAACTTATCCATCATGTTCCCGTATGCGGGACAAAGGATAATAAATGGCCGCGGCGACGCGATTCTACGCGAGTATTCGAAAAGATGGGAACTGGGATGCGCCTTCGAACTGCATGCGACTTTAAATCACGTCGGACCACCAGCGTCATTGATACAGATACCAGCCCGCATGAAGCAGATCCTCCTATGCTTGAGTTATCTTTATTCCCGCTGATAGCCACAGAATACATCACGGTGAATGCAAACTCACACATTCTTCATATTCAGGTGTCGATTGTGGCAAAAATAAATGACGAGAGAAAGAGAGAAAGAGAGAAAGATACTTCATTGTATCTTATATACAAAAATTATTTCAATTTTCCTTCTGTGCAGTCGGTTATTAAGTTATAAGTTAAATATCAAAAGTAATAAGGGTGATCTATCAAAAAGATAAGAAACGATACAGATAATAGGAACAATGTGAATGCTTTTTCCTCTAAATCGAACACAATTTTCGCAATGCAATAAAAACTGTCAAAATTCTTATAGAAAATGTTTGAAACAAAACATCAATCTCTCCTTGAAAATCACAGAAATCGCCTAACTTTACTAAATTTGACATCTATCAAAGTGATTAGTATCCTACATAGTCCGAAGTAAATCATAGAACGTTATATCGTGAGAAGGAATCCTCCGGGAAAATCTAACATCATGTTGGCTTTACCATGTAAATTCGATTGAAATTTATCTTACATGATTAATCCATTATAAACCGTAAAACAGTTTCAGAGATAAAGAATCATATCAATTAAAAAAAAAAAATGTTCTTACTTATTTCAAAATTTACTTTATTATTTTTATCATCCTTCCTTGACGTCAAATCTTATTTTGACTAAAAAATTATAATTTTGACTAAAATTATCAAATTTATATTTTATTTCTATAAAATACGATATTTATTAAAATATAAGATAATATTTGCAAAAATAAAATTTAAATAATCAGTAGAAATCTTCTAAAAATAGCCGAACTATAAATATTCACATAAAATGTGATAATAGAAAAGAGAGATTGTAATACATTATGGAATATACATATACATACACCACACGGAATGTGTGGTATAGCTGATATAAAATTCCATGATTTAGTAGGGAAGTATGTGATTGATAATAGGAATTTATGTCACAATTGATCGGAATTCTCCTCTTTTCAGGACTTGCATACCGTCGACTTGGAAGAATTCAGACACGGCGGGACCAATATCACTGCCTTTCGATTAGTGGATCCGGAGAAGCCGGAAATTCAGAAGGTAATTCAAGACTGGATCTACGGTGAGAAGCGCTATAATCGCGAACTCGATATGGGACAAAACAGCAACAAGGTAAGATGTATCTCGCGAAGGAGTTAGTTATATTAGTAACAGAGAATGGATCGCCGCTATACTATGGCGATCCATATTGCAGCAGTTATATTGAAGTCGTTCATTTTGCCGATGTCGATATTTCGCTCTCAAAGTTCTCCTCGGGCATAAAATATAAATATAAATAATACGTAGCGCAAGATATACGCAGCGTCGCAAAGTGTAAACATAGAGAGAGAACGTTATGTATGCAAATGTAATGATCGTTCCACTACGAAATATGTTCCCGTCCTTAAAGCGGCCACGCGTCTCACGTAATAACACTCTAATTCCGCATTCTTCGCGCAAACCCATCTGACAGTCGCATCGATCTACTTCTCGGTTCTTTTCGTTCGCGAGACTTAGCGGAAGTCAACTCACGCTCTTTGAGTGTAACCGAGAATAAGTACATAAACGTAATAGTTAAGTAATATCTTACATTTGAAACTTGATTGTGTCGCGGAGAAATTAAATTTTTCCATAGCACTTGCCGATTCTCGTAAGAATGCAAATATGGTAAAAGAGACCGAGCTGTCGGGTCTCGTTTTCAATTTCGCTCGGTCAAATTTGCGACAGCTCGTGTCGGCTATTTGCGAGGTATGTAACGTGAAAAGAGATCGCATCCTCATAATTAGATGAATATCACACAGATGTTTGAGCCAGTTGCATATTTTTTTTTCGAATAGCAAATACTAGAGGCCAAAACACAATTAATGTATTATTTGTATGTGTCAAAATAATCGCAATTTTTTAATTCTCAATAATTAAAAATAAAACAATGTTAATAATTTATAGCATATATGTGTGTATAAAACATTTTGTATATATTAAGTAATTTAAAATGGCCTAAGATTTCAATTTATAGATATTAAACATCAAAAAATGCCAAATATTGATTAAATTTGATCAAATTTTCGATGCAAATATATTGATTTCAGTTGATGCAAATAAATTGATTTCAAATTTGCCAAAAAGTTTACCAGAGATAATATGTTTCTGATATATTCTGTATATTTACTCTAGAATTATATAATTAATAATAATACGCAGATATAGATTTATACGGCTGTAGCGATTCCCTTTGTACATATTTCGGTGCACCAAAATCAAACTGTTCAAACGTAAAAGCAGTATTTCGAGCATTAGTTAATTAGTTAGTTTATTCGGAGAATTTTTTAAAATTTCAAACTGGAAATTTTTAATAAGAATAGAAAAAAACTTATTAATATTACACATTCACGGACCATAAAATCTACATTATACATTCTATAACATGTATGTAAAAGCATCATTATTTATTTCAAAAATTTTATAAATATTATGTTAGGTGGCAAAAAATAGAGTTTAATTATTTATATAAAATTTTCAGACAATTTCGCGCGCTTTAATACTAAATGAATAATAAAAACAAGATATAAATATATTTTTTTTTAAATTAAATACTTGAAACAAATGTAATACTGGTACTCACAATCAGCACGCATACAGCATATCTGTAATACAATACTATATTAATACGTACCAAAAGTAAAACATATAATGCACAAAACATCCGTAATATTATATATACAATATTACGTAAATCATATCCGTAATATAATATTAGTAAATATCGAACTTGTAAACAAATTGTCTCTAATTTTGCATTTTCTCGATTCGTAAAATCATAAACGCAAACGAATTTCTGGTTTTATGTGCTTGAATTTGTAAAGATCAGGTCAGGCAGAATGTAATAGTCCATGAGTAAATACGATTTCCGCGTTGTTTGTAGATGCAGTTTGCATAACATTTTTTTTATTTTTTTTATTTTTTGTAAGCCGATTTCAAGTACAATCCGTATGAAGGCGAGAACGTCGCGCGAATCGCAGCGCAGGAAATTACGTGTACAGTTTACCTACTTCTACCAAACACATATTCTGTACATGGCAAAGTAATGAAACGGCGGCAAATTAATCGGTACATACGTATATACACGTGTACATGAGAAAGTACACGCGAGTTTGCAGGTACTTCCATTAGGTGTCGACATTTTATTGGACGTATCGATTAAGTCGATATACAGACGTGACGTATAACGTTATAACATGAGTCTTAGCGCTCGTTTCCTGTATAAGACATAATAATTCCAGAGATTTTCATAAAAGTAGACGTTAAAATTGCTCATAATATAAATAATATTTAAAAAATAGTTTCTTTAAATTTAATTTTCCTTGTGCTAAAAGCTTTATTATTATTATCATCATCGCAATGTTAATATCTTAATCTCTTTTTACTAAATTGAGTGTTTCAAAAATTCATTTTTGATATAATATGCGTGCATTATTATAGATAGAGATTTATTAGTATTAAATGACATTCTTTAAAATAGAAAAAAGATTGATTTAAAGACAAATTGTACGTTTGTCGTCGAACATTGATTGCCCTGCGTTTTCATAATTAATAGCGTGTAATTATTAGAAAATGACTATTCATGATTTCTCGAGAAATATAATAATAGTAGTCTTAGCTTCTTTATCTTTGTTTATTCATCAAGATTATTACTAAGATTATTGCTCTCATTCTTATCATTATTCCATTTATATTTGCAGTCTGTAATTATACATGTTAATGTATTTATTACGTTCGTATAGTATATTTTACATTATGTTACCCAGAAAAGCAAACATACGTATATATGTATGTATAAAATATAACCGATTCTTTTCAAAAGAATGCTCCTTTACAAACATAAATAAGCGTATATCAAATATTAATAAAAAAAAACATATTTCTTTTGCTAATTTCATATTTAAGTATATTTTATCAGTTAATTAAATTTATATCATTGGTTATATTTTAAGCTGAAATAAGGTAACAATTTTCTTGTTTAATACATAATAATAATTTCTTGCATAATAAATAATGCTTGTATCAAAAAATATTTCCTTACAGTTTCACGAGTGTGAATGTAATATGATCTCAATTCGAAATTATAATAAAATCCCGTTCATACAACGTGTTACATAAATGTCCAAAATTTTGCATTTCTTTTATAATAAACAACATATCTTCGAATTTTGTATAACCGATGAATATCGTATAACGAGCGGAATCGTATAACGCGAAACGTATCCTCCGCGGTACACATTTCAGAATTTTAAGAGTGAAATCCCTGAATCTCTTCTAGAATGAACTATCACTGCGCCGTAAAAGGAGCAAATACCGAGACGCCAATTCGCGAAAAGCGAATTATATCGTCCGTCGCATCTGGCACGGCATCAACTGCAGAAAAGTTGAGAAGCGCGAATCCGTACGTTCGGCTATTTCGACGGAAGCAACATCTGCCGCGTCTAGCGCGCCGGGCCCTTAAAAAGGCCAATTTGCCCCGACACGGTTGCACGTTCGCGCAAACTTTCCAACAACTTTTTGCCAATGTTCTGCGGTATACGCTTAACTGCAGTATCTCGTACGAGAATGTGACGGATCTGCTCGTATCGTTCGTTGAAATAGCGACAATATTTCGCAAAAGATGTTTTCTCACATCGTTTCCCTTTTTCGCGCGAAAGTCGAAACATGATTCAAGCACAATAATATTTACTCCTTTACCAAAGCGCGCTTAAAAATAAAGATTACTTTTTAGCAGTTTATTTTTATGCAATTTATTTTTCAATAATATTATTTATATACGATTTTGTGATCTTATTATATACTTTGTGAGAGAAAGAAAAAAGAGAGAAATGATATACTTTTTATAATTTTGGTACAATTTATTTAAACATTATATAAATTCTATCTATTTCATGTTGAATGTATTTATGCCTCTACAGATGATATGACGCTATACCGAAATCACATAAGACAAAACAGTAGATTTATGAAGTTATAAAAACGTAATCATAAGATGTATTAAATATTGCATTTACAAAAATAGATTTATAAAGATAATATAGCAGAAAAATAATTAAATGTTAATTAAATGTTGGATAATATAATTAGCTTTGTGAAGATGTTGATCTTATAATATTTATATTACACAACTTTTAGGATTGAACATCATATATTTAATAATTCTATAAATTTTTATTAAAATTAAATAATTTGCTTAAGATACTTAATAAGTAAAAACAATTCGCACAAAATATAAGACAGCTATATTAAAAAGAAACATTATGCTAGAACAGGATTTTTAAGCAGAAACGCAGAATTTGTGTTATGTATAAAATCAATTTAAGAAAATTTGTAATATAACTAATTGCGATTGCTCCGCGTGCGACGAGATAGCTTCAGACATTTTAAGAACACCGTAAATTATCCATCTTTTTCCATCTTCTTCTCTTCATAATTTCAGAGTAGTTCCATTTTTCTTTTTTGTTTTTAAAGCATCCTCACCCGTTTGATCTGTGACCCGTTCATAACACGGAGAAAATGACTTTTTGCATCATGCGTGCTGCAAATGCATACACATAGGCATATATAGAAGACGACTTATTACATTTTTCCAATCGTTATTATATATATATTGATATAGTCACGCTCTGACCTGATATAAACAATAAGAAAGAAAAAAATATCATTTTTACTTCCAATCGTGTTCAAAACTTCGCTCTCTCTCTCTCTCTCTCTCTCCCTCTTTCTCTCTCTCTCTCTCTTTTTCTTTCATTTTCGCTCTCTCTCTCTCTCTCTCTCTCTCCCTCTTTCTCTCTCTCTCTCTCTCTCTTTCTTTCATTTCTTTAATTCTTAGATTGGCTTACTACAACTTGATTTTGAATGACTAATTCGCTAATATAGAATAATTATGTGTTTAAGAAATAACACTTCCAAGAAAGAAGAAGTACAGCAAAAAATTTAATTGATATTGCATAAAACATACGAAATTTACTGTATATATTGTTTAATCAAAACGTATTCACGATGAAAAATAAATTACACAAAACTAATTGTTGCGGGATATGCTCGCCAATATTTTATTTTCATCACATGATATAGACGTATAGAATCTGCAGTGGTTTTTTTCGTTTTGACGAGACAGTCAATAGTTCACGGAAGATATATCATCGTGACGATAGATAGCGCGTCTTCACTTACTCGGTTCAGCGAGAAGAGAACAATGAAATGGTGGCACAAAGAAACACTCGGTCTCTTGTAAAATCTTGCAAAATAAAAGTTATAAAATCGTCAATTGAAGTCGCGCGAAGTGAATTGCACCAAAGACTGCGGCACGCCATCGATTCGTGGCATGCAAAAAAACATCAGTAATAAAAACTTTCTCAATTCGCCAGTTTCATCAAGCACAGTGTCGCAGTTTTAAGCGAGACACCGACTATTAGATTTACCATCACTGTCTTAAATTAAAATCAGAAATATAAAAGTCGCGATGAAAAAGAAAAAAAAAGAATTAGTGAACTTCTTGAATTCAGATTCTTAAGTAAGACCATACTTTCTCATGCTCGACATCTATTAACAAAGAAAAACTTACTAGACATTTAAAGTTACAGAATTTTAATGTTTTATTGATAACAAATATACATTTGTCGATTGCACATATCATTTCATTGTTATATTATTATCCCATTACTATCTAAAACAATGTGACAAATTTGTTTCTTGTACTTTAATTATGCTCATAAAAAATATGTTAATTATTGGGATAATTAATCGGTTTTTTCCTAATAAAATATAATAATGTTGTCGCAGTTTGATTTCTTATAAACAACATTTTTAAGAAATTTTTAAGAAAAAAGTTTGGAAACGGGCAAATAAAAGCCAGACGCAAAAAGTATAGCACAGATAAAGAATTCAAGAATTTTTTCGAGAAAAAAGAAAATTTAATAAAATGTTTTGGTCCATTTTTAGACCATCTTTAGCAACTGTCAAAAAAATAAAAGACATTATATCATACAAACAGTAAGATACAGTTGAAATATGCTTAATCGACTTTTTTTCTTCAGAGTCTTAGAATTTTTATTCTTTGAAACAACATTTTTTATGATTTTTATAAAAGAATACAGCGAGAAATTACTTGCAAATTCTAAAAGGATTAGAAGAAACCAGATTACGCACATAGTAATTGAAAATGAATGCATATGAACAAGGGGAGAAGATTTCAGCTCTCTTTTCATCTATATGCGAACGAGGGAACATTTTCCGTCATCCGTTCAGGATTTGTCCTTATAGAACGAATACCTTTAAGACCGTGCAATCGACGGGAAATCTCTATCTCTGGATAGGCGTTGTATTCATGGGAAATTTATCAGTAAAGGGCAAATTCCAGGGCGTTTCCACCCTCGAGCCGACACGAGGCTGGTTACTGCCAAGAGGGTGGATTATCCAAGCGGCACAATGGCCGCTAGGTCTGTGGATTCCTCTACGTAAAACTCACCCAAGAACATCTCGTACATTCAATTCTTCAAGAAAGCATTTTGCGATTTTATTATATTCTTCCAAATATCCTCTCCATTTAATCGTATTCTCAAGCATTTTATTAGTTTTGTAAAAACTATGATTTACTTACTAATAACTAAAATTTATATTTTAAAGAAAATTATTAGTAGCCATTTTAAAAATTTTAATAGACAATATGTATGTTCCTATTTCCCCCTTTTCTCATCTAAATTAAAGATATTTCACTATAAATCATTGTGTAATCAATTTTAAAAGAGATCGAAATTTCATGTATATGACAATTATTTTAGTTTATATGATTAATCTAGTTTTGAAAATTGGCAATTCTTGAAAAGATAATAATTTCTTATTTGACTCTTAACTGACAATACATGCACACCTCTTTAATTTGATAGTGTAATATACATATATATATTTGAATGATATAGGTGGAACATTAAATAGGCATCATTGAACTAATTGAAGACTCACTCAGCCCCTCAAGTTGATTTCATGTCTCTGCCACGTTGCGACACCGTCATTCGAAATTTAATAGTAACGTTACGCAACGGCGTTGTCGCATAACGAACAATCACGTTTGGTCAAATTCCGTAACGGGATATTTTATTGTTCGAGAGAATGTCGACAATCTTGTTACGAGCGTGTCAAAGTCAGGCTAATTAACTCAATCGTGTATTCAAATCTGACGACACAAACGAATGATATATTGATTCGATTATAGATACGATATATGTAACAATTGATATTGTTAGAATCAAAGTAGCGAGTTATTCGAAACTTGTATATAAATTGCGGGTTTTACGTAAGAAATTCAAAGTAGCGATTACGTAGCACAAATTTATATACTCATATTTCCAGCTTTCTAAAAGTTCTAAGAGACTATCTCATTCTATTCTAAAGACGATCCTATCTATTATTCAACTCAATGTTCTATACTTTATGTTAATTTTATTTTTCCGATATCTATCAATAAAGTATAATACTTTTTTTAACCCTCTCATAAAAATATTTTAAAATATTAAATTGTTTCTCTATTTCTTTTTCACGCACGCATGGAACAGAATAATCTCACAACTATAAAGGTAAGTTAAACGTTTGTTATAAATAGCTAGAAAAATATTTACTGTCGCAGTTGTATTAAAGTTTATTGAAATAATGCGTCTCGAAAAAATATATTCCCAAATTTCTGCAAGATTTGTAACAAAAAACATTGACATAAATAATTGCGTCTGTACAAATTTGACAATGACAAAAATTAATGGGTTGTGTGAAATTCTATCGATAGAGTATAAATTAAAATGATCGGTATTACGTTTACATTTATAATTCATTATTTACGAGTAAGTACGAAGATGCTAATAAAAAAACCAACCGACTCGACCGTAATTACCAAAAGCTACACAGTTACATTAAATTATACGATCGTTACTTTATGTTGTGCGCGTGTATAATACATTGCGCTATAAAATAACGTAGCAGAGTATTGTTTTAAAAATTGAAATTTTCAAAAATTAAAGAACAAAACTTATAGAAATAAAACTATCATATCTGTCATAATTAATTTTATACAAATTTTATATTCTGAAAGATTAATTAGATTCTAAGATATTTGATATAAAAGAAAACGAACTAATCAACGCGAATGCAAATTTAAATTAAATTGCATTCTTTTTGAATAAAAGAAGACTTGAGAAAACTATCATAGAACTATCTACGATTCCGATTGTAACCGTATTCCGAATAAATTTTTTACTTTCTCGTAAAGTGTCAAGAAACTATAGAAACCGTTTTAAATGCCATTTGAATTTCTCTTATAAAACAGAAGAAAAAATCTCTTATAAAAACAGAATTATTTTAATAAGCAGTCTTCCCGAATAGTTCCATAAGAGTTTGTCATAAATGACGTAAGAAAAGAAATTCTACCGATCATTGGGCACAAATATTCAGAATATTTCATATCCTTTAACATGCAATTTTAATGTAATCGTGCTTATTCAACGCATGCACTCTTTTTTATCTCCCGCGAATGATGCGCAAGTAATGAATAAAGTTTAGGGAAAAGCGTCGCTTCCTCATGGAACTTGTATTTGTCCGAAACTTCGGTGTATCTATATGAGGATATCACCTTACGGTCCCTTCGTATTGGGAAACATGTGAATCGTATACATTGACTCGTTTCTCCGTAAATACGCTTTCCGGACGAGGCCTCGTAAAATCCGGTAAGGATATTGGTTGTCCCGAATATATCGGAAGGAATGTATACCCACGGCGTGATATCTAAGGTGATACCGTTTTTACAGCGACAGTACCGCGGGGATGCCGCGCGCGCGGTTACGAAATATAAATGTGAGGGAAACAGAGGCGCCAATTTGCCGTGAAATCCTCCCAGGAGCCAAGATTTTCGTCCTTTCGTCCCCCGCATTCGTTGGCGCGGAAACGGAAATTCTCCGTCCGATCTCCACCTACAAATACGATTTCTCTTGTGAAACGGTAGATTCGAGATCTAGTCTTTCCATCCCTTATCGCGTTCTTCGATAATTTCAATATCGTAAGAATTGCGATTTTGTTTGAGATAGTTTGTAAATCAACAAATATAAAATATAAAATATTTTTCTCTGAAATCGAATTATTGTGTCGCATACACGTTCATTCTTCTATCTTATATATGGGATGTTTAAAAAATCTATAATACAATAATAAATAATAATAATATAATATAATATGATAAAAATAAATTTACGGTAATATAATGCATTTTGTTCAACCAATGAATATATTAATACATATACCAAATTCTAAGCAAGCTCATACGCAGAAAATTTAGCTTTAAATTACAATATCACTCTCTATTTGTTCAAAAGATATGTATGAATTTTGGGTAACGTCCAACAAATTTCAGCATGGTAGTCTTATATTAAAAATTTAAGAATAGATGTTTCTTCTCGATTTTTGTGTGCAAGAAAAATTGTATCGGAATTCGATATAGGAGGAAGACAAGCTTATTATCATTTTTTAGAATATCTAGTATATACACGCTCTATATATAAAATATATAAAGCGACATGTTCTCAAGAAATATCAATAACGGAAGCATGTGTTATAGTGACAAAGGATTTTATTACGTGATCAAAATAGTTTTTTTTTAGACAGAAAAATGCTGCACATTTTTGTCTTTTATACGCAATTCGTCTCAACTCACTGCGACTCTTCACGATCGAAAATACGGCAACCTACAAGATAAAAGCGTGCGAGTCGCGCGACGCGACGATGAACAGCTGATTCATTCACGTGTCATGTCGCGCGACTCCGCGGGCGTTCATTCACATGACTAAGTAGCAGTATGTACACGCTACTACGCGAGTAGAGTAACCGCTCCATTACTCCCGTTTCGCACGCAATCATGACTAATCATTTATTAATCAAACGCTCGATTTTTAATTTTATTTAGCCGGCAATAACACCGCGGAAAATCGACGTAACGACAAAGACAAATCGTGATTGCGCGTCTTGTAAACTGTTCGGTATATAATATAAAAATTATTTCTTGCACCTAAAATATTTCACTAATTTGTTACTTTGCGTGAAATATTTTATAAAAACAGCATCTCTCTCGTTGATGACATTTTGTCATGTGTATACGATTCACAGACTGAAACATCCTTGCTGTACGATGCCGTCCATCTCTTCGCCAAGGCATTGCACGATCTCGACACGTCTCAGCAAATCGATATCAAGCCGTTATCTTGCGAATCAACCGACACTTGGCCTCACGGATACTCACTCATTAACTACATGAAGATCGTAAGTAGCATTAATTAGAGCGATCAATAACATTTCATCATAGTGTAGAAATACGAAACTATTATATACTCATATTTTTATATGCATTTATATGCATTTTGAAATATATAACATCGCTCTTTTAGCATATTATTTATATGAGCAGCATAATTCTTATATTACGTATTTTAATATTAAATGCATAATTTTCATATTAATTAAAGAAAACGAACATAAAATGGATAAATTATATTTAGCATTAAAGATAATACTAACGCAGACAATACAAAGACAGGCGATATTTATATATATAATTAATCAGATTAATTAAATAGATTTAAAAAGATAGACAGTAACATATTTCGAATTTGGGCGATATTTTCAAATTTTCATCAAATATTATTGTTCTATCAATCTCGTAAAATGCGCACACATCGAATCTCGACGATGTGGAAACAATATTCGTGCATAGACTACCCATCTTCGCATGATTAATATACGCTCATCCAACGCAGGTTATCGCGAATGTACCGCGCCAGGGAGAAATTAATTTCGCAAAATTATATATATATGAGCACCGCCAATCGATCGCACTGACAACATAATAAGCCATTATAACGATATGCTTAATCCAATCTATTCGCTCGCTCGCTCGCCTTTCATGCGATCTGCGCATCGCTCATTAACAAGCATCATGAGTCTTGTCATGTATGTACATCACGCAATGCACCATAGGTCCGTCCGTATTCTGCAACGCATAAATCATAAGCTTTCTCATTTTTCTCTTCTTACTTCTTATAATATCTCAATAAGAGATATTGAATTTCGTAAATATGACGTTATTTTGTGAAAGGACATTTTCTAAAAATCTGTAAATTTTTTTCTGTATTTATTCTTTATTATTGTTATTAATTCCACATATATATAATAATAAACCAGAAATTGATTATTTTATTTATAAAGCCTATATTTATGATTCTGCTGCGTATGAGAGTTAACTAATTTAAATGCTATTAATATCGCAAGTAAATATCAGATATACCGTTTTAGTACACAGTTCGCTTGCGCACACAAACGGCTAATGAAACAATAAAAGCTAGATTAATCTCATTAATTTAACATCAATGCAGATTCTGCATTTTCTGGATGTTTTTTAATACTAGAAGCAAGATGCATGACGCATATACAAAAAAGTGTGCGGGGTATAAAGAGAAAAAAAATTGAAAAATATACGTGACGCTAGCGCGAGATGCAGGAAATCACGCGAAACCCGGACGCATTGACTTTCCACGATCCGCACGATTGTTCTCGCAGAACAATGGAAAGTTACTCCAGTTTAAACGAAGCTGTCGCGAGCGCTGACAAATTGTCGTTCGCGGTTTTACCCCGGTGCATCCCTGACGCAAAGGCCTGCACAGGTCATAGTATGTATGCTGCGCAATGTGTGAATTGGCGCGCGAATTCAGGCCAAATATACGCAATAAAGTTTGTAATCAATACGAGTTGCTATCGCCAAGATTTACTCTTCGAAGGATTCGCTTAAAAAGATGACAATTATTAATTTAATACAAACAATTTTGTTCTTTATGCTAATATAAAACCAAAACTAATAATAAAGAACTTGATTAGTCCATTTAACAAATTTATATAAGCAATAATATATATGTATGATATGATTTGTAAATTAAATGTAATGTAAATTTATGACAAACATTCTTATATTATCGTTTCATCAGACATGACCAAATTTTATCATGTTGATTGTATTCTCTTTTTATTCCATTTTCTACATACACAGATATAAAAGAATAAATTTAATACCATTGATCCCCTTTCAAGACGTGAAAAATAATCGTGAAAAAACACTGAAAATATACAATATTTGGCTATATTTTAATGAAAGAAATTAAATTTAATAAAAATTTTCTTAATAGATAAAATAATTTGCAGGAAAGAAGTGCTATATCTCGCATTGCTTCGTACGATCTGTTTATTCGTATGCCGTAACAATGTATGCCATGTCACGGCATGCTCTAGCTGCTTAACGCCGAAATCGACGCACGCAGGATATATGGTAACGCATTGCATCAGCACCGTGATACGAGTTGCCGTGAATATAAATACGCATTGCATGCAGGATACGAGGCAACGTGCCTCGTCATTCGCCGTGTCGAAATTGACAAGTACCATAAGATATGTTCTCCGCGCTGAAGCGATTCTCGTATGCAAACGCGACTGCGTATACATATGTCACGAACGAGCAAAGCCTGTCATATAGAGCGGTCTGAACGCCCTGTCAAGGATCAGCAAAAATTGATGTCGATAGAATCAAGCCTGCGCGCTTGAGTAATTTCGATGAACTTGCAATTAAATCTGATTATTATACGCGATACCATTCTCATTATACGCGTGACCGTTTCAAATTACAAATAACATCTCGAATTTTTATAAAAAAGAGAAGTACTACTCTCTCTTTTTCAAATCGTAAAATTATCATTTTAAGAAAAGAATCTTCTGTGTCTTTCTCATCTAAAAATAATATAATGTGCCACAATATATTTTGAATGTTTATTATAAATTCTTAATATTTATACGACAATTATTTTGAATTATTAAGACGATAGGAATGAAATAATACGTATACAAATAATTCGTTACGTCCGCACAAATAATTTCTCGTCTGTGACATCGTTTTCGTTTGAGAAAACACGCTCTCATAAACTGTGATAGAAACTTCTACTATAACCGGCTATATCATAGAAATATAGCATGATAAAATGTGATGGTAGCTAGCTTAAACGCTTCAAAACTGCTACATGCGTGACTGCGACTAGCTTCCTCAAATGAAAATTCCGCGGCGAGCGATGCGACTTATCAATTCGCATTACGTTACTGTCGATAGTTTTTTATAGATTGTCCCATATTCATTTGCGTGAAGATTGATACGGTGCATTCACGTTTTCGTCGAGTAGCGTCATAATCATTAATCGGAACGGTCCATTTTTTCTAAGGATTACATCGTAAATCATCGGTAACGTTAGCGCCTGTATTAATCTCGCGCGTCAACACTGAATTTAATTTCGCGATATTCATGAACCAGTAATTACAAGCAGTCACCGAGAATTTCGTCCGCAATTATACCGCGTTATATATATATATATATATACTATGTAACTTGCGGGAAAGGGAGATAGGAAGGTTCGGTTATCATGCGGAGCGTAATTACTCGCGAATCGTTCTCTTTACGAATGCCGCGACGAAATTTCCGTCTCAAAATGTTGCCGCATATTAATGCATTTTCTACATCTCATTGTCAATGTAATTGTGAACTGTAACACCCGACACATTGCCGCCAGACGCTCGCTTTATTCTAACTTTACACACGGCAAATGTTTTGACAAACCCTACGTACGTATGCGTAATAAATGCACCGCGAATCTCACCTCCTCGTACCCTAGTTTGAACATATATAGAGTGTGTGGTGGTTCTCAAATTGTCTCTGTTCAAAAAATCACGGTACGCCGAGTATTTATATTGGAGATGTGATATATACCGTGTATATAACACACAAGATCATTAATAATTTTTTTTTTCTTTAACAATAATAACAAAATTTGTTAGCGAAATTTATGCCATGATTTTTTAGAATACATAATGATTTTTTAGAATACATAATGATTTATGAAAACTACATAATGATTTACGCATTTGATGTGTACACGGACGTATGTATATATAAAATTGTTATTGACCGTGTGTTGATTTGCTCGCGTATTAAATAGCATGTCCAAATATATTTTGATATTTAATGCGCATAACTATAATTAAGGGAATATCAACAATTTATTATATATTCACAAATATATGATATTAATTTGAATGTAATCTCACTATATCAATAATTAGCAACAAAATTTAGCATATTTATAAATATAACTTAATATTTATTTTACAATATATACTAATTGTTAAATATATTTTCGACATATTATTTTAGGTGGAAATGACGGGGCTCACAGGTATTATCAAGTTCGACCATCAGGGTTTTCGCTCTGACTTTGTCCTAGATATCATTGAACTGAATAGCAAAGAAGGCTTGAAGAAAATCGGTACTTGGAACAGTACCAAGGGTATCAACTTCACGAGAAGCTACGGCGACGTTTACACTCAAATCGTTGAAAACTTGCAAAATAAGACTTTTATCGTGACGACCATACTGGTGAGTAATGTTTCCAAAATGTCTACCAGAATCACTGCCAAACGTCAGAACAATACGTTGAATAAAATTTCTATTTTCGAAAGCAGAAATACTTAAATTCATAGTTTTTCGAATTTTATAAAGAATTGTGTACTATTTATTTCAAATGGAATAAGATAACGATACAATGTTTCTCTTTTTCTTTAATAAATTTGGTAACATTACCTTAAAATAGCGTCTTTTACATATTTTAGAAAAATAGAGAAACATCTACTTAAGTACAATATTTTAACTTATTTAAAAAAGTAATATAAAGTTGAATATACATTTCTACATATATATAATCTCCAAATAAGACTCCTAAAAAAAATTCTGTATAAATCACTTAAATCTCTCTCTGATTTTATCGCTATTTAAATAAGATAGAAAGCGTTTATGCTAATTTTACAACAATATGTGGAGCTTAAAAGAAATCCTCTAGGAAAAAAGGAATTACTGAGCTTGACGTGCATAAATTTTAAGAACTACTTTGCATGATGCTTTAGTTTAAAGTGAAGTAAAATAGCAAATTTTTTATTCCGGTATCGAAGACGTCGCGTCTGTTTACGTCTGCAAAAATCGTTCGCGACAATCGCGCGACGAGCTCGAAAATCGTTGCTTTAATCGAAGCGCGAACAAAACAGGAACGTCGCCGCATTTAAGCGGCAGTCACAGCGGGGCGGAAAATTTTTTCCTTCCATTAGCGAAGGGAACGTTTTGCGCGCTCGTTAGCTTTCCGCTTTCCTCTTTTTCCTGGGGAGGAAAGAAGACGAGAGGGACGGAAACACCGCGTTTCCCGGATACGCGCGGCTTAATTGAAGTTTTCACGGCGCGCTCGACTCGCATTACTTATTCTCGCGTTAATTGCGGCGACAAGTAATGTACTCGGTAATGTATTAAGTACCTTGAAACTCGGTCGAGGAAGGGACGGTGAGTTTCCAATGGCAAAGCCGCACGATAAGAAGCGAGATGCGGCTAAGAGTTATTCTCATTTAAAAAATCTGACGTTTCTTCAATCAATGTATCAGGGGCAAAATCCACAGCGAAATTAATTATTGATAAGAATCTAGAATACAAATATGAATCACAGAATATTTCGCGAGATTTGTATCAAACGTTAGGAAAGCATTTTCTAATGCAGTAATTAACTGTGTATCAATTAATTTTCTACCGTTAGAAATAAATTTAATAGATATAATTTCATTGTATAACTACAGCTGCAGAAATCTGAAGTTATAAAAAATTTTGGTTTCAATTTCTTTATCTTGAAGACAATAAAAATTATAATGTTTTTCTTTTTGCAATTTTCTTAATTTTTGATATTAAATATTTTAGCATTTATGTGCAAAATTCAGATTCATAAGTAAAATGCACTTACAATTAATTAATAAAATTATATTAAACAACTCTTGATATTTTTTAAAAATATTCCTTAAACTCTTAATAAAATTCTTTAATTTTTAATATGTAGAACTTGAATTTATAAATTTTCATCAAGACACTTTCTAGCTTTGAAATACAAATTTTATAAAATCTCTTGTACTTTATCAAAAATGAAGAAATTGATAATTTTTATCATTTTAATATAAAGAATTGTGTAGCAATATTATATAATTTATGTTATGATAAATAATTAAAATAAGCTCTGTACTTTTCGAGAAATATTTATTCTATGCGGACCACACTATACATTATTTAGATACGATTCACTCTAATATTATAAGGAACTTCAATATAAAGAGACGCTATTGTGAACAGTGTACAGTCTCTATATATCCAATATACTTTAATCTTGATATTCATATATGAGCGTCGCCAAGATTACTTCTGCAGATATTATAACTCCACTCGCGGGCTCGAGAGCTTCGCTGTCGAGAGCTATCGTCGATAAACTCGACTGCTCGTATCGGTAAACGCGCAGCATCCTTTCAGATGCATATGTGCAGCACACTGTTGACGGCAGCTCATTATCTCGCAGAGCGCGCCGTACTGCATGCGGAAGGACTCAAGCGAGAAGCTCACCGGAAATGCGCAATTCGAAGGCTACAGCGTCGACTTGATTTACGAGATATCGCGGCTGCTTGGATTCAATTATACGTTCCGGCTTGTGCCGGACGGACGTTATGGCTCGTACAATAAGCAGACGAAGGAGTGGGATGGGATGATGAAGGAGCTGCTTGATCAGAAGGCCGATCTCGCGATCGCCGATCTCACCATCACGTACGATCGGGAACAGGCTGTCGACTTCACCACGCCGTTCATGCCTTTAGGTAAGACTTATTGTTAGCTATGACGTGCAGTGAACGCCGCCGCATTTTCATGACATTCATAAACGTGTTATAAAGAGATACGTAAAAATAGATATGCTAGATGTCATGTGTGAATATAGTATTGAATATTGTATGTAAGATAATATTTTTATTAATATTTACTTTTATGGAACAATGTTTTTTAATCACAGCATTAACGAAAGTGAAAAAAAAAACGCGCATGCATTTTATTGTAAATATTATTACTATCGAAAATATGGATCAATCACGTATAATTGAAATTGAAATTAAAATTCTTGCGTAAGATAATTGATGATTTGAGATTGCATTTAAAAAAGTAATATAAAATATTATGAATAAGATTAATATACTCTCTCTAAAATGATAAAAATCTTAAGCATACATGATACATATGTGTGTGTGACGGGGCAGTCTTTGCATTGTATATCTTCGAAATAATTTCGCAAGCACAATTTCGCGGACCATTATATGTGCTTTCGTAAGCCGTTTGTGGCCGTAAAGAAAACCGGAATAAATCTCACGAGTAATTATACTCGGTCCACTGTGTCCACACATCAATGCATTCTCTACTTGTAATCTGCTCCGTGGCTAAGCATAAAACGAGAATTTTGAATTTTCAGGGATCAGCATACTTTACCGCAAACCCATAAAGCAACCGCCGAATTTGTTCTCGTTTCTCAGCCCTCTTAGTCTCGACGTTTGGATCTACATGGCGACGGCTTATCTCGGGGTCTCCGTGCTCCTCTTTATACTAGCCAGGCAAGTGGAACCACTTTAAATTCCTCCGACAAAATGCCGTGATACTATTTTGGAAACTCGATCCTCTATTTAATCGATGCAAACTTTGTGCATCATCTCACAGATACATCGACGAATTAAGTACGAGAGGAATGTGTGAACCTGTCTTCCATGATTTTTATTTTATTTTTTTTCGTTTGATAAGTAGTTTATTTAATACACAGCGATTAAAAATTGAATTGATATTGATATCAATATCGTTTCTCTCTTTTATGACAATATAATAAAATTAATTAGAAACTTGTCTCTCTTTTTAATTTTAATCAACATATATAACATAATTCTTTTTATTTTTTCTTATATATAATATTAGCTGTTTATACAAATTGTTTATAATCCGAACAAAATATTTCTCTGAATGATCACAATATACATCATATGTATTATACGTATCAATTTATCATAAAATGGACGAATCTTGGGCAAATTTTTAAGATAGAATTTTTCATAACAAAAAAAACGTGCTTGGATACCATTGGATCAGACCGTGTCTGGAATAATTGAGTTTAGATTCACGCCGTATGAATGGTACAACCCGCATCCGTGCAACAAAAATCCGGATCGCCTGGAGAATCGCTTCAAGCTCCTTAACTGCTTGTGGTTCACCATTGGCTCCCTAATGCGGCAGGGTTGTGACATTCTGCCCAAGTAAGCTCTCTTTCACGCATCAAGATAATAATCTTCATGCGCTCAAAGTATCAACGGAAGTGCTCATTGCATTCGTTGCATGTTACACTGCTGATTATCCCTCGGCAAAACTAAAACATTATTGCCTCTCTTGTGCATAAATCATAGAAGCGATCAATCATTAAGAAACACATAGACAGCTTGATAAATCGCTATGGAATTCTAAAATTGAGAATTCTCACTTGCATCAAAGGAAACACAAGAACAAAATAAAATGTTAAATGTTATAAAATGTTGTACGTATTTTTAAGTGATAAGAAAAGTGAGAAGAAAAACATTGTTTTTTTTAATTGATACATGCGTACTATCTTATGTAATTAATTAATTTGCACTAATCAAGCAAGTTTCATACATGGTCAAGTGATATAATTGAGACCGAAAGAATTTTTGTTGAAAAGTTAAACCTTGTTTTATTTTCTTGGAAAATAAAATACAAGTACAACCGAATAATTCTTCATGGTATTATTATTATTTTATGTAAATAATATGAATTATATATATTTCATGTATTATTCACACACGTATCGCTTTTATCATGGAAAAATCACTGTATACTGCTTGATTTCATCTCAATTGGTCCATTTGACCGCGAAGCACAATAATTCCATAAATTTATCGCGCCATTTCAGGATGACAACACCGATAATACGTGGACAGAGATGCACGTTTTGACATCTAATCTCGGACCTTCCCCTTTCACCTGTCCGCAGATTCAGCCCTTACGAGTGGGAGAATCCCCATCCGTGCAACGGGCAGTCCGAGGTCCTCGAGAACGAGTTCACCCTACTGAACTCGCTCTGGTTCACCATAGGCTCGCTCATGCAGCAAGGCTCCGATATAGCGCCGAAGTAAGTTATCGAAGCACGCAGTATATATAAAAATGGAGTACGCGACAATGTAGAAAAAGAGATCCGTTATATCTCTGTCGGCCAGATCGTGTGAACTAAACGGTAGCAATTGCAGAAATTGAAATTAAAATTCTTGCGTAAGATAATTGATGATTTGAGATTGCATTTAAAAAAGTAATATAAAATATTATGAATAAGATTAATATACTCTCTCTAAAATGATAAAAATCTTAAGCATACATGATACATATGTGTGTGTGACGGGGCAGTCTTTGCATTGTATATCTTCGAAATAATTTCGCAAGCACAATTTCGCGGACCATTATATGTGCTTTCGTAAGCCGTTTGTGGCCGTAAAGAAAACCGGAATAAATCTCACGAGTAATTATACTCGGTCCACTGTGTCCACACATCAATGCATTCTCTACTTGTAATCTGCTCCGTGGCTAAGCATAAAACGAGAATTTTGAATTTTCAGGGATCAGCATACTTTACCGCAAACCCATAAAGCAACCGCCGAATTTGTTCTCGTTTCTCAGCCCTCTTAGTCTCGACGTTTGGATCTACATGGCGACGGCTTATCTCGGGGTCTCCGTGCTCCTCTTTATACTAGCCAGGCAAGTGGAACCACTTTAAATTCCTCCGACAAAATGCCGTGATACTATTTTGGAAACTCGATCCTCTATTTAATCGATGCAAACTTTGTGCATCATCTCACAGATACATCGACGAATTAAGTACGAGAGGAATGTGTGAACCTGTCTTCCATGATTTTTATTTTATTTTTTTTCGTTTGATAAGTAGTTTATTTAATACACAGCGATTAAAAATTGAATTGATATTGATATCAATATCGTTTCTCTCTTTTATGACAATATAATAAAATTAATTAGAAACTTGTCTCTCTTTTTAATTTTAATCAACATATATAACATAATTCTTTTTATTTTTTCTTATATATAATATTAGCTGTTTATACAAATTGTTTATAATCCGAACAAAATATTTCTCTGAATGATCACAATATACATCATATGTATTATACGTATCAATTTATCATAAAATGGACGAATCTTGGGCAAATTTTTAAGATAGAATTTTTCATAACAAAAAAAACGTGCTTGGATACCATTGGATCAGACCGTGTCTGGAATAATTGAGTTTAGATTCACGCCGTATGAATGGTACAACCCGCATCCGTGCAACAAAAATCCGGATCGCCTGGAGAATCGCTTCAAGCTCCTTAACTGCTTGTGGTTCACCATTGGCTCCCTAATGCGGCAGGGTTGTGACATTCTGCCCAAGTAAGCTCTCTTTCACGCATCAAGATAATAATCTTCATGCGCTCAAAGTATCAACGGAAGTGCTCATTGCATTCGTTGCATGTTACACTGCTGATTATCCCTCGGCAAAACTAAAACATTATTGCCTCTCTTGTGCATAAATCATAGAAGCGATCAATCATTAAGAAACACATAGACAGCTTGATAAATCGCTATGGAATTCTAAAATTGAGAATTCTCACTTGCATCAAAGGAAACACAAGAACAAAATAAAATGTTAAATGTTATAAAATGTTGTACGTATTTTTAAGTGATAAGAAAAGTGAGAAGAAAAACATTGTTTTTTTTAATTGATACATGCGTACTATCTTATGTAATTAATTAATTTGCACTAATCAAGCAAGTTTCATACATGGTCAAGTGATATAATTGAGACCGAAAGAATTTTTGTTGAAAAGTTAAACCTTGTTTTATTTTCTTGGAAAATAAAATACAAGTACAACCGAATAATTCTTCATGGTATTATTATTATTTTATGTAAATAATATGAATTATATATATTTCATGTATTATTCACACACGTATCGCTTTTATCATGGAAAAATCACTGTATACTGCTTGATTTGTATGATTATACTGCTCAATTGGTCCATTTGACCGCGAAGCACAATAATTCCATAAATTTATCGCGCCATTTCAGGATGACAACACCGATAATACGTGGACAGAGATGCACGTTTTGACATCTAATCTCGGACCTTCCCCTTTCACCTGTCCGCAGATTCAGCCCTTACGAGTGGGAGAATCCCCATCCGTGCAACGGGCAGTCCGAGGTCCTCGAGAACGAGTTCACCCTACTGAACTCGCTCTGGTTCACCATAGGCTCGCTCATGCAGCAAGGCTCCGATATAGCGCCGAAGTAAGTTATCGAAGCACGCAGTATATATAAAAATGGAGTACGCGACAATGTAGAAAAAGAGATCCGTTATATCTCTGTCGGCCAGATCGTGTAAACTAAACGGTAGCAATTGCACAACGAAAACGAACATATATCGCGTTGTATTAGATTACGCGAATGATATACAGGAATCGCTCAAACCGTGCTATATCGTAGGCTTGCTGCAGCCGAATGTACGCTAAGTATGCCGGAAAATGTGGGAATTAGTAGCAGAAATGTATTCCTTAACGGCTTTTGTCGACTTCTGCCTCTAATGAAAATTTCATCGGTGGCTTAATTAGGGAGCTACTTAATTAAAAGGTTATGGCAAATTAAGCGTTACAGTAGTGCAACGAAGTAACAAAACTTTACTTTCTAATTAATTTGAAGCAGGCACTTTCCTTCAATAAAGAATTAACATGATACTGAATTAGCAAGATATTTAATATTTGAAATTAAGAAGCAAAATATGCTCCAAAAAGCAGAGATATGATTTTAAATATATATATATATTTCTATGCTACAATTTCCGGTAAATCGTGCGTAAGTGCGATGAAATGAATCAGAATGCTTCCTCTGTTCTTGGTCATCAAAATGCATGAAATCGCATAGCATGGGCTAGCAGCTTGGAATGCCATCACGCAGTAACGTTAATAGTTTCCAATAATTGCACGTACTCGTTATACATGACATAATTGCGTTTATGTATACGCACGAATTTTCATGTGTAAAATACAATAATTCGCCCGCATACATTCTACATATAGCTACGTTTGCCGATTCCCGCATTTGCCATTTAATAGGAAACGCGAATCGCTTAACTGTGCAACCGGTTATACCCGCGCGACGTATACAGCTAGCTCGTTACATAAAGCTCGTTACATAAAGTTGAACTTTTGTACGGTCCATTACCTCGTGGAAGGCGTGAAGTTATTCTCGAAAACTTTCGCGAACGGCAGGTGCCATTGATTCCTTTTTTCCGCGACTCTGTATTTTCTCGACACGCTCCGCTTTATCGAACACGCAGCTCTACAAACGAGACTAGGTTGTACGAACTATTTCGCGAATAAATTCGAATTTTTAGTTTAAAAGCGTTTTTAGTTTGAAAGTATTTTACGTGGGAAACGGATATGTAGCCTTTGATCTTTTATCACAGGGCCGTGTCGACACGCATGGTCGCGGGTATGTGGTGGTTCTTCACGCTGATCATGATCTCCTCTTATACGGCTAATCTCGCGGCTTTCCTCACCGTCGAAAGGATGGATTCTCCAATCGAGAGCGCCGAGGATCTCGCTAAGCAGACGAAGATCAAGTACGGTGCCCTCAAAGGCGGTAGCACGGCAGCCTTCTTCAGGGTGAGATTACGATACATACTTTTATATCGTGCATTGTTTCTGAATATAGATAGCAATATTCACGGCGCGCGGTTATTGTTGCATTACTCTTAGCAAATGTGCAATATCAAAAATACATTTTATATAAATATAAAATAAATATTTGACGATAAAATAATAAAATAGCTACAAAAGGAATTGCGAACAATAGTTGAGTATATTAGCGTATTATTATCTGAAATCCCACAATTGAATTGAATTTGCTCTTGACGGACTAAGAATCTCTAATCAAGCCAACAACGGCACGAGAACCGCAGGATGCGGACCGAGAATATTCCTCTATTAATCCGAGAAAGCGCACGCGATGCGTACAATTAGGGAGGAGAGATGCGCGATACCTACGCCGAAGTAAGGCATGCCTACTTCGGGATTAACCGATTTCCACTCCGACGTTCCATCGTTTAACGGCACGCATATTCAACCATGAAATTCCCGGCGTGATCTAGGATTCCAATTTCTCGACGTACCAACGCATGTGGTCCTTCATGGATTCGGCGAAACCGACGGTATTTACGTCGAGCAACGTCGAGGGCGTGGATCGAGTGATCAAGGGGAAAGGCAGTTACGCATTCCTGATGGAATCCACCTCCATCGAATACGTAATCGAGAGGAACTGCGACCTTACTCAAGTCGGCGGTCTCTTAGACTCGAAAGGATACGGCATAGCCATGCCACCAAGTAAGTGCTAATAGAAACACCATGTATTGTACATATATATATATATTGCATAACTTCATATATATATATGAAGTTATGCAATAAATTTATGTAAGGCTTGAGTTTGCTCTTTAATGGAAATCATAAAAATACGGAAAAAAGTTTCATGATTATTTTACTTGTATCTCGCAGATTATATAAAACAGATTTAAGATAAAAAAACATTTTTTATTAATATTTTTCATGCTTATTACTTAAATATTTTGGTTTATCAGTTTGCCGATATTATCAAATAATACACATAGATTGTCTAAACGAAAAACTTAACAACTGCCAAGATGTATTAATGTATCGTTCATTCGTATTAATCAAGCATAATCTGGATATAATAATAAATCTCGCACACAATAATTATGAAAAATTTCATTCTATTAAATATATTATTGCTGGATAGCGCCAACACGTGATAAAAATTCAAATATATTTTGAAAATAATTATTTTTGCAGTCAAAATATGAATCGATATATTTTATAATTAAAAAAAGTAAAGCATGAAATTCTGTAACTACTGAGGAATTATTATTATCATATGTTTATCGCGTCAATACAATATAATAATGCATTAATATATTCCTCCTGACCAAAATATGTATTAAATATCAGTTTATTTGATACTTATATATGTATTATATCATAATTTTTCATCGTATTTTTATTTGTGTCTGACTCGTATTGGCTTGCACTTTTGCTTTTTTACGAATATTCTTACGGAAGTCTATAAAATTATGTAATTTTACTATAATTTAGTGTAAAAAGTATAATTCGATTTAAAAATTTTTGAAATTACAATATTTTTTAATAATTCCAATCGACAAAAGAGAGTAGCGGATATACTATAATGGTTTCTCGAAGAAAGAAACGTAATTGATCGATATCACAGTGAAGTACTTTATTGGCCTACCGATTCACCTGTGAATAAAAGAAATTCTCACTTAATTAAAATTTCTCCTTCATGCAAATGAAATTCTAATAGAAAATGCGAATCGTTCCCTCGGTGAATCGAGAGATCGCGCGAGCGCGCGTTAGTCAGTTTATCCGCTCATCCCGTGAGATCGAATGAAATCGTATCGCCGGTCGTCTTCCTAATCTCGCGACTGCGCGAAAATACCGGTCGATAGTGAATATCGCTATGAAGGAAGCGATCGCGCGCGGAATTGCAGGCGAAACGTTGGCGCGAGGGAACGATTGGCGCAACGGTACTTCCGAAAGTTTCGCGGAAGTACGATGCTACGAGACGATAAAAGCGGTGGTGGAGTTCCTCAAAACGACCTTGGAACTTCAGACTCACCATACAGAACGGCCATAAACGGGGCCATCCTGAAGCTCCAGGAGGAAGGGAAGCTTCACGTGCTGAAAACGCGCTGGTGGAAGGAGAAGCGAGGTGGCGGATCCTGCAGGGTGAGCAAATATGTATTAGGCGAAAGTATATGATTTACTTTTAATCGTCTTATAATAAAGAATATAAGATCTATAATAAAAAAATATTAATAACGAAACATCTAATTCAAACACTGTAAAAAAATGAAGATTAAGTTTAAAGATTATTTAGAAAAAGAAAAGATTTGACAAAAACAAAGTATTTATGTAAAATATAACAAAAAAAAGAATAGTGTTTTTATTAAAATAATTGTACCACAATATATACAGCATATTTATTACAATTACGCGAAAATAATTTAATAACAGACATCTTTTATTTATGTCTCAGATCGACAAACAGAAATTTATTGCCATTAGATGCATTTTATATGGAATCTTTGTCATGTCCGAGACTCCATTTCAATTTTAACATTTCATTTTTAACACTTCTCGTCTCTTCCCTTATTTTTCTCACGCAAAATACTCCACACCGCGCTAGCGCAGTCAAGAAGTGCGCGTTCGAGATTCTTGCGTCAGACTCCAGCAACTCCTCTCATCCGTCAGGGGTGGGAAGGTTACTGGGGGTTGAGACGGCACGCGAAGAAGACTATTTCGCGAATTCGCGAAATCGAGGCTTCGCCGAGCATGCGATCACCGTTGCGCGCACTGCTATTTCTCGCGTACCCCTACGCCGATAAATTCTCCTGATAATTCGTCTAAGCTCCTCCTTCCTTGTGGGCAAACTTGCCGACATTTGACGCACAAACGTAGATAGACGATTGTAGTTATACAAGAGGAATTAACGCCTCGATCCTGTACTCCGTTTACAAGCATTGAAGACATTAAAGATATAAGATATTAAAAATAAAACACGATATTTTCACACATTGTACATAAAAGTAAGTCAGCTGCAATTATTTTCTATTCAAAGTTTAAGAAATTATATATTTAATATCGTTTTCAATCTTTTTTAAAAATGTATATATAATTGTTATCAAATTCTATTATATCTGAGAATAATCATAAAGAACTGATGGTGTACCCTTTTTCTATAAAATATTCTTCTTTCGAAAAATCCAGTCTATAGAAAAAAGAATCATACCATCCTTTTAAATGTATATTTTTTAGCTAAATTAAAAAATTGCGATATAAATTTAGACACACGGTATTTTTAACACGTTTAGGATGTAGATATTTTTTTTTCATGTAAAATGTCAATCAAAAATTGAGCGCTTTAAGATTAGCGTCAAACGGACAATTTAATAAAATCAACAGACCATTTCCTGTTTTCTCTCAGCGCTTTAATTTATCAGCGTGCAAGGGAGCAACCGAGATGAAATTTTCGCGATATTATCGACGACGCGAATCGCTTCAATAATGAACATTCGAGCGCGAAGACCACGCGTGCATTAACGACGCGCAGCAGACTAAACACGAAAACGGCCGTTTCTCCGACAATGCATTACCGATACAACGGGCTCATACTCGGCCCATACCCGGCCCATTAATAGCCCGCGTTAATACGCCGCAGGCTAATCGATGTTTCTCATGGGCAGGACGACACCTCGAAAAGCAGCTCGGCGGCGAACGAGCTCGGCTTGGCAAACGTCGGCGGCGTCTTCGTGGTGCTGATGGGCGGCATGGGTGTCGCCTGCGTGATCGCGGTCTGCGAGTTTGTGTGGAAGAGCCGGAAAGTGGCAATCGAGGAGCGGGTGAGTGACGTGAAATAGCACGTGGAGGAAGGTCGCGCGGAAATCGCCACGTCGGGATCAGTGACCGCAACCCGGCTCGACCCCGACGCGATCTATCCCGACATACCGCGCGAGTACATCAGTTGATGCTCGCATACTGGTGGAGTTCCTCTGTAATGGTCTCGGTACAGAACCACTCGGGTCTGATCGCTCGCGCGGCACGAGATCGGTAACCCATTGTGTCTCTTGTCGATCGATATCGCCATCCATATCGGCGAAAACTTACGCGGCCTCGTGAAACAACCCACTGCATACGTATAATTTTATTCCCTCATTTTTCCGCCATCCTCGTGCATCGTTATCCTCTCCCATTCGTCATTATCCCTATTGTCTCGTTGCGCACGAATATCGTCGTTAGTCGGACGGGCAAATATCCGTCCTCGCTCGCCATCGAAGATACGCTAGTGCAAGCATCTACGCTGAAGAAATGTCTGGAGTATTCGCGACTTATGATAAATCCAGGCAATTTAACTGCGAACTTTTCTTTTGCGAAAAACAGGAAATATTTTTCGCGCAGGACTTGTTCATCGAAAGATATTATTCATCTAAAATAATCATTAAAAATTTAATTTGTTCAATCAATTAGCAATATTTAAAGAAAGGAATTTATCTTTATATAATTGTCGATTTCTCCTTCCTAAAAATTCATTCTAGTAAATTTTGAATCTGGCTTTTGGTTAATTCAATCTTAATGTTATATTCTAATATATGTCGCATTTTTTTTTTTTTTACTTTAATGTTAAAAAGTCGTTGTTCCAGTTCCAATCTAAGTGTTAATACATACAATTGCATGAACGAGTAAGATGTCGCGATCGCTAGCATTGTACGAGAACGTCGTGGTTATTGGAACGACTCATTGTCAGTTATAGAAACGCAGCCAGTGAAAACTTGATGAAAAAATTTTCTAGCGAGATTTGTTTTGCTCGAGTGCGGGAAAATGGAATTAGCGTATGTAAAGCCTCGCGTTGCGCTGCTCGCGGTGGCCGGCGTGCGGTCTATGCGATATGTATTCGTGCCACCGTTTGCATACATTCAAGGGGTAAGCAAACAGGCAACTATTTGAAGAGGGCTCGTCCAGAGATACGAATATGCAGCTTTACGCGGATCATTCTGGACGTACCCTAAGAGCAAATAGCTCTATGAGCTAGCGATCGTTGATGGTGTTGCTCGAGTCTCTTTTCAACCCCTCCTGTCTACTTCAGGATACGCTATAGAGTGTGCGAGACAAGATTCTACAAAAATTCAAATCCACTTAAATCGATCACGGGACGAGACTCTCGTCCTGCAATGAATAGTACGGATTTCGAATAGATCGTATACGGTATATTTGAATTTCCGTGCTGCGTAATGCGCAAGATTGATTTGATATGGTCTGATCAAATCAGCCGACTACGAATGTTATAACAATCGCGATATTTGATGTCACAAAAATTAAAAATAATAGATAAAATTAAAATGGATTTATTAATATCGCTTTGTGAGATTGACTTCTACTCTTTGTGGAAATTCGTCGTGAAATAATGATTACAATAATCAACGATGCTAAGAGCTATAACAATTAATGACAGATAATGCCTCTATGTATGTATTTCTATTTAAAGAAGCAATGAGACAGCGTGATAGAGATGTATATATTATTTTTATTTGCTATTTAAATAAGCGAAGATGATTGTATCGATGCGCACCTTTTCCCCCTTTGCTACTCGACCATCGCAACAATGACTGATGTAACGAATCTGACTCAGGCATTTTGGTGTTCTGTTTTAGAAGCAGAAATCCTCGGGGAAACCGATCTGCGAAGGTTTTACTGATCTGCACTAGCGACGGTACGCGCTGCGCTGCGAAAACTGATTCTTAAACTCAAGCCGTACCTCAAAGCGTATCCGATCCGAGTTCAGTGGACCTAAGGAAGAACTCCATCACGAGTGATCGGGAAACTGTGTAAAGATCGTAAAATTATAGGGACAAATTAAATAATCGGACAGGAGAAGCAACGAGCCTTGACCTTTCCAATTTTCCTCCCAGAATCCTGTCAAATATCAATCATCTGGTTTGACGAAATTATTCGAGATATGTATATATAAATACTTCTCTTTGAATTTCGGCGCACAAAAAAAAAAGAAAATAAAGTTTTCAATATTCTGATGTACGGATCAATTGGTTCTATCAGAATTATACGATATAATCAAATATCTTACTGTGAATATATTATTAAAATTTTATTAACGACAACTTTTCAGTAGAAAAATCTACGATTATTACGACATACGTAATGTATAAGAAATCCGAGCCGAAAGGTAGCGTAAAAGAAAGATTGGAAAGGCCAACGTGTTTGCCATTTGCTCATATCAAAACTTAGATTAACACACAAAGACTTTAAAGCCTCGCAATAGGAAAGGTCAGATCCTCCCTCGCGAAGTTGTAAATGTCTCAACCGACGTCAAAATACTAAAAAGAGAAAGCCGCGGTATTTACAATCGAATTATAGTGCGATAACGGACAAACTTTTACGAACAATCACGATTTTATACCGGCTAGATAGTGAATGTATAGTGTGTGCCAGATTACAAGACGTTTTACTGTAAATAATATGTAGCTATCGAGCTAACCATTACGTTCGTAAGTGTACGCGGAGTCCGTTCGCTTCGCAAGATAATGATACGCGATAATCGAAGGAGCAGGTGTGGATACAAAGGAGATATATCTTGTCAAAATTTAATTTTATTAACGATCCATTATTTTATTCATGGCATTATAAAGATATGAAAAATAGAAATTATCAGCAAGAATGAACGAATATTCCTAGTAAGTAAATGTCGTTTGAAATTAATTGAAATGTAAAATTTTCTTACAGTTCAAGAAAGTTGCTCTTGCAGCCCGGTGGGCTGGAATTCTTTGATTTTCAATGGTAAATAACATTTCCATTTTAATTTCTATTAAGAAAACATTGATTTCGAATTCGTTAAAGAATACACGATTACCAATTCTCATCTCTCTTCGTATATACTTTTTATATTTCATTAATTATAAATTGTGGTATGAATAAAATTAATCAATTTGAACGTTTTGTAGTAAGTGCGATATTAAATTGCGCTATATCATCTTTATCCACCGTGCGCCTTTCTTCATAATGTAAAGTACTTCCGATCCATGTTTAGAAGCACGCGGACTCCGAAATTTCGTTATTAAATAGACGAATCTATGTGTCATGGCGAAGTAACTTTTACGAAAATTGCAGTTTCAAAATATTGCATTACTTGTAGTTCTAAGTAAAATTGAAAAGACGCGCGTTGTGTGTGTGACAATTTAGTATGACATTGTTAGTTGTGTCGCAATGTTTCTTGCTTCTCTCCCGTCACGGATTCACAGGAGGTGAGCTTATTTATTTCGTTATCAGTATTGTTACATAGATAAATCTTCATAGCTCAAAGAATTCAACCAAAATTGATATCGAATTTTAATTATATAAATAATCTACTATTTTTAACATTAATAGATATTGAAATATTTTAATGATTTAAAAATATAATACATTGAAAAAAAAAATTCAATATCTATATAATAATTTTTATAATTAATTTTATATATTTATATAATTAATATTTATATTATTACGAGAAATATTATTCATTGTGACTGTGAAGATTTCATAGTAAATTTAATGTCATAAAAGCAGAAATTTTGAGGTTTTTATAAACTTGCATGCATAATTATACCCATGATTTATTGCTTGCACAAGCTCAGTTAAAACTTTTTTTGAATTTTTGTAAGATATTAAATCCAAAATTATTTCAACAATGAATTTCAACAATATGGATTTTTCATCTCCAATCGTTCCTTTCTTTTCCGATATATTCAATCATATCTTACTTATTGTAGATTTTCTTATATAAGTGATATTAAAATCTTTCTCAGCTCAAACATTTTGAACAAAGATTACCTTTCGTTAAGAGAACTTTTAACTGCGTCTTTGCAAATAAAGCGGATTTTAAAGTTTAAATTTTAATATAGTGAGTTTAAGCTAAACGACTCGTTCGCGAGCCAATACGTAAGCATGTCGCAATACTCTTTCCGTGAAACTTTCAGAAGTCTGTGTGCTCGGAAATGGCGAGCGAATTGCGATACGCTTTGGACTGCGGCAACGGGAATAAAAAGCCTATATATATTTCATTTAGAAAAAATATATAAATTGTTTAGTATCTCTCGATAATCAATTAGAAAATAAATAAAAGAAAAATCATTAATAATAATCAATTTAATGATAAAATTTAAAATCTGAAAACTAAATGGAAAGTCAATCAAGTTTGAATTAATAAGGTTAAATACAAAAATTAATAGCAACATTAAAATAATGGCAATTTCTCTCTAGTTACAGTGTCTATAAGTTCTAATAATAAATTTCAATTTCGCATAGTAATTGTGATTAAACACTTTTAACTGCAATTATAATCTCTAAACGACTCGTTCGCGAGCCAATACGTAAGCATGTCGCAATACTCTTTCCGTGAAACTTTCAGAAGTCTGTGTGCTCGGAAATGGCGAGCGAATTGCGATACGCTTTGGACTGCGGCAACGGGAATAAAAAGCCGTCGAGGAAGGTACTTTGTCGACGTCAGAGGCAACACTCGAGCCTGTCGATCGTCTTGGAGGAAGGCAGATACGCGGCGTGCAACAAGTACAGGCACTTCATCGGAAAAGCGCCTTTGACGTGAGCAAAAGAACGCCTGACCGAACGAAGAAAGACCGAATGTTAAATTTCTTTACGGAGTTGATTGCTTCACTCACATGCGATTTGAAATATATAAAATGATCGATTAACAAAACAAAATCTGATCAAAAAACAAAATTATCATAAAATAAAAATTATTTATTTATGAAATTATTTATAATATTAAGCAAAATTTTAAATCTGTTAAAAATGTGAACAATTGTGTAAAATTGTTATTATAGAGAAACTAACTTTTTTTTAAATTAAACACGATATATACAGGGTGTCCGGTAAAGATTATGCCAACGCTCGTGAGCGAGTAGAGCACAGTAAACTGAACAGAAAAGTCCTTTACCATCTTGCGATTTTCGTAATAATTATTGAGAAATTAATTAAAAAATCGACCAATTCATAAAAAGAGACAACCCATTGATGTGTGGTAGCTAGGACGCGAGAATCCATTATTATGTACTGCTCGTACGTTAAGGTGCGTACTGACATATAAAATGATCGATTAACAAAACAAAATCTGATCAGAAAACAAAATTATCATAAAATAAAAATTATTTATTTATGAAATTATTTATAATATTAAGCAAAATTTTAAATCTGTTAAAAATGTGAACAATTGTGTAAAATTGTTATTATAGAGAAACTAACTTTTTTTTAAATTAAACACGACTTGGCATTATTAGCCCAAGGAGATTCCTGTAAATTCGTTACGAGACGGGAATTTGCGATGCGATTTGGATCGCTGTGTAAAGACTTACCTCTAACTGTATGTACACGTCTATCTGTCCCTTTTTTTACGAACTATCGAATAAGATAGTCCACCATCTAGTCCCTCATAGGGTCTACTTGTTAAACGCGATACCAGAAGAGTGCGTGCGAGAAAACGAGCGAGTGAACAAGAGTCGCATGAAATTATATAGGTGGCCTTTCATTGACGTTAGAGATGTACTGTCGCTATCTCGTAAAGTAAAGTATCCTATTGAAATCAATCTGAGTATGTAGTCACCGACGTGCGTGAATTCCTTCAAACATAATAAAACGTGAATTTGCGCATGTAAATTCTCTACGACGAATAATGAGATTGCGCGAATGGTCATTTGCACAATTTTATCGCAATCCACAATTATTTTGTATATGTAATTCGCGATAGATATTTTATATATTTGAACATACTTTTATCTGAATTTATTCCTATCCTTAGCTGGTCTCGTACGGGGTCCATAAGGTCAATGAAATATTACTTGAACAAATTAGAACTAACGATTACAGACTGTTCTAATTATTCAAACTATTCGGATAATATATTCTTCGCGTTTTCAAAACGCGTTGGCAGACATTCCGTCGAATGCAAAAAATCGCTGCTAACAATGCTCAGATTATTTTCAAAGAATACGTACTATTGTTATTACTAATTCTTGTTCATCCGATCAACGTTTCCGTTTAATCGTGTTTATGCGGACTTTGTGAACCAAACAGTATTCATGTTGAGTCTTCCTTCTATCGTAAAACAAGAAAATGTAAAAAAAGATCCGAGCACCGATTATAATCTACCTTTAAACCGAAATTCTCGGAAAAGAGTGATGTGTAAATCAGAATACGAATGCTCGATTATACTGCGTTAAAGAATGTGTGATATTCCAATAGCTTCTACGAACATTATTTTAAGACTGAGCGTGAAAAAGCGAAGATGAATGTATAATCCACATTTTATTTCCTTCTCTCTTGTACTTGCATACATTCCACGGATTTCGTTACTCTTGATGCGATTTATCAAGTTCTGAATGCGACCATAAAAACGCGCATACGAACACTCAATATATACATATATACATATATATACGCACGCGCGCGCGCACATTGACACCGATACGGTGCCAACTGTAAATATCGTCGATAAACTTGTTACATACTTGCGTTTACACGTCGCGACATACGAGTTTGTTAAGAGCCTATCGATTCTACTTCTTATATAAAATGTACTACAAGCATCATATTAAACGTGAATAAATTAATCGTCTGTAAATTCTCATCCAACATCCTCTGTTGTAATTGTGCCTTCGTGACATCCGTTTCCCCTATTCATCGGTGATTATTAATTGCCAATCATACCATTAATTTTGGCTAATTGTATTATTTATCGATTCTCTGTTGGATTATATAAATTGTAATTCTAATCAACTACAAAATAAAAAATAGACAAATTAACAAAAAATAAATATATCAGTATTTTATTTGGAAAATGTCAATGTGTACTTATTTATTTAAAATATTGGAATATTTATACACTTTTATATTAACAATATATAAATATAGCTCGTACGGGTAAACTTTTTTGATATCAAAAATTTTTATTCGTTCATACAAAACTGTGCTCCAGTCGTTCGCCGTAAATCAATAAATAGCGAAATCAGATATTTATAGCAATTAACTAGAAATGATAAAAAAATTAATATCTTTTCCTGTTCCAATCATTTGTAAAGCGCTTCTCCCAAAACTTCGTCGCGCGCCTAGCGACCACAAACTTTTGGGTTGTCTCTGGACCGTTCTTTCTCGCCGCGCGCTTATACTCACGCGAATTGGTCGATCTTTTTTAATTAATTTCTCAATAATTATTACAAAAATCACGCAAAATGGTAAAGGACTTTCCTATTCAATTTACTGTGCTGTATTCGCTCACGAGCGTTGGCACAAACTTCCAATTATATTCCGTTGAAATCTATGTCACACGACGAACACGACAAGCATCAGTGGCGGCGGCGACGCTCGATGTCTAAATATATCGACGTCGTTATGCGCTCTCTTAAGATTTTCGTTAGTTTTCCATGTCGTGTCGACGCGTGCTGGACCGTATAAAGATCTGATCACAGCAATTCTCTACAGCTCATGATTTATTCCGTGTAATGTAGCCGAATAAACCGACACTTTGTGAAATATCTAAAATGGCTCTGATAAATAGACGTGAATGCGTGCCCGACGATGAATGAATGAAAAAGAACGCGCCAGACTGCGTGCATTTGGCACGATGACAGTAGATTACGTGGAACTCTGAATGCGTATGAGATGTTGCTAAAAGCTCGCACTCTCGAGACAGACACTGGTCGTCTCCGGCGAATAAAAAATACCCAAGAGAATGTCGGACAAATATTTATATAGCTTTGAGAAATTAATTATATCGATAGTACCCGTCATACGACAAGGATTTTTCAAATAACTTATTTATTCACGAGTACATAATTCAGAACTTTAATAATTTTTCCTACATAAATTTTTATACAACACACACACACACACACTTTCATTCAAAATTTTTTCAGCATGAATGCGGAAATGTAATTGTTCGTAGTCAATTAAAATAAATAATTAAAATAAGTAAAATTGAAAATTAAAGGATTTTAATAAATTAAATTTTTGAAGTAAACTTGATATGATTATACTTATTTTTCAGTTAATTTTTTATTAAATTTTTATTCTAATGTAAAAAAAATTGACATTAAATTAAATAAAGTTTAATCAAAGATATTTAATGCTAATAATAATCGCCAATTAAAATTTTTAAGAAATATTTAAATTCGTCTAAAAACTTGTAAGTGAAAAAATATATGAAAATTCTTGGACATATTGTGTAATAAATTGCCGTATCAGTATCCGTGCGCAACTTACAATTTATATGCTACTCATGAATTACTGCTTGTAAATATCGTATATTAATATTTTAATATAAAAATCACATTACGCAGAGAAAGAAAGAGAGAGGAGATGTCGCGTGGAAATACTACTGAGAGAGATCGCTACAAACGAATTTATTAAGAGCACACAAGCAAATAACTAGACTTAATATTGGAAGATTGATTTTAGACAGATCTAAATATTTATGCACGCTGAGAGAGCGACTTTCAGGCGGCGCGATGCCTTCTGGCTAGTTTATATAACGTCGATCGTTTAAGTGCTTGTTCAAGATCTTTCCGTTTAGTCGTGTGCATCGTATACACACCGTTTATATATATATCTCTCTCTTTCTCTTTCTCTCTTCGATTTTATTAGATACACACCCGCACCTGCGCATGCATTTTAATTTTATTTTGATTTTACTTGTATGTGCGCAGAATGATCGTAAGATGGTGACCAAATGTCTGCTGATATTATTGGCGATATTTCTGTCCTGCGTGCATGTGTCAGGTTTTATTAAAAAGGTCGTTATAGGTAAGATTCACTAACTTTGATCTATGAGAAAAATATGAATAAAATAAATGTACATCGAAAACATTATTTTCGCATTCATTTTTTGTTACGGATTTTGACAAAACATTTTGATAAAATGTAGACAAATATTTAGCGACATAAATTATAGTCTTCTGTTTCAAGTAGTTTTTTTACGAGATATATACACGGAAAAAAAAATTTTCGCTACCATAGCTAATCATGGTTTGCAAAATAAATTTCTAAACTGCAGCAAAACGGTTTGCTGTTCCACTTAATAAATAGGTATCACAGCTAAGATGTTTGCTGTTGCACCTAATAAATAGGTCTCACAGCTAAGATGTTCGCTGTCCATATATTACGACTGAAATCTAGTTACCACACGCAGTTTTTAGCTACGGCAGCTAATTTTTTTTTTCCGTGTACTAAATCTATTTATAATGGATATCTTTTTTAATCTTTTCAAAATTCTTGTTAAATGTTTGCAATATTATTGTCGAATATCTAATATTACTCCGTTGCTATTATCTTTAAATGTTAAAAAAATAAAAATATTGTGAAAGAAACGCATTCCCTCAACTTTGCGCATATGCGATAATACGCACTATACTTTACGGAAGAGCTTCGTGAGCTATTTCGGTCGTGTCAGCGTGTCTGGACTTTAAAAAGAATCGGCTATATATTATAGTGGGACTATTCGACCAAGATGAAGCGGATATGAAGCAGAATTCGGACATCCAGCGGATGTTCGAATCATCAGTGAAAGCGGTTAACAAAGAAAGGCATGGAAACGAAGAACTCTTAAATGTGTATTTGGGATCGGAAGTGACCGATGTTGAAACAGACACACTGTTTGAGGTATCATTGAAAGGTAAAGCATTGTAACTAACGCCAAAATGAGATGGCAGGATTTGACGCTAAATTATATCTGATTGTGAGATTCCCATTTTGTATCAGCTTACGTCTGATATCAAAATACATTAAACAAAAAGATGATTATATTTATCTTCTTTAATGGAACATAAACACGAGCGCACAGTAACATTATGACACGCTTATGCAGTCTTTTTAGATGCTTAAATAAAATGTATATATATATGAATGTAATATATCCTTTCACATAAATTCTCAAATAGAAATTAGATAATATATATAGATAATCGTTGCAATTACTTTTCCGAAATAACGTAATTTTATTATATTATCACGTGTATTTTGTATTGATCTTTTTCGGAATGTTTAGTATGCGAGTTGATAAAAACAGGAATAGTTGGGATCTTCGGACCTGAAGAAAAAGTGACCGCAGAGTACGTGCAAAGCATATGCGATATATTGGAAGTACCACACATCTCCGTGCAACAGGATTCTAGTGAATCAACTCAGTCACGTGGATTAAGTTTGAATCTCTATCCGCACGTGAGCTCGTTATCACGAGTAAGTAAATGAAGTTTGAAAGATCAATATTATTATCGCATATTAAAATAAATTATATGAGTAATATTATATATGTGAGCTATAATCAATTTTGAATTGCCAAATAAAATCATTAAAATCATCTATCAATATATAAATAAGATAAAATTTCTGTCTACACATCAATGTGATGCAAAAAGGTGAAAGATAAAGAATAAATTAATTGCAATTATCATAAAATATTAGCATATCTGTCTCTTTGTATCTTTTTTATTCCTTTTCATTTATAATATTACTTGAAATTTTAATCTTACCCTTATATTTGACGTATAACTGTAACATAACGATTGTCAACGGAACTTTCACAGATATACGATCAATTGGTAACAGATTTTAAATGGAAGTCTTTTGCAATACTCTACGAGAACACCGACAGTCTTATTCGCATGCATCTTTTGCTGAAACGAGGGGACTCTCATGGCAACTCTGCATTTATGTATCACTTGGGTCACGGACTGAATTATAGGTACAGAATACAGAAATGTCTAATTTCGTAGTGTATCTTGATGGGATCTTCTAATCCCTCAGTCATGTAAAAACTGCTCAAACTCTCTGGAAATATCCTATAGAATTGACTGATTACCCTTCTCTATTTCTATATATTCATGAAATATATGTACATATTTGTCAACGTTATATCAATAATTGATAACGTTTTTGTCATCATTTTTACGCTCATCGTTTGCTTATTATGTTCTGATATTTATTCTCTCAGTCGTTTAATGTATTGTATTATCATGAACATACGAGTATTCTCAAAATTGTCATTAAAATGTATTGTTGCGTTTCTGCGTTACGATCTTGCTGCAATATTTGTATTTTTCTGTGTTTGATCAATTTATAATAATCGTGAAGTTAATCAAGAAGATAAAGATTGTCTCTGAGACAATATATTTCGCAACAATATATTTAATAACACTTTTCAATATCGAAGTAGTTGGTATTGAACATTTTTTTGATCAAAAAAGGCGATTAGATAATTTGCAATTTATAGTCATTATAAATAATGATTATGTCATTATAAATAATAATTATAAATAATAATCATATCAAAAGTAATTAGGTGGGAGTAGAAAGATTTGCGAGTTTAATTAATTGAAGAAGATTCCCAGGATATCGATTAATTGTATAGTTTGGCGTCGAATCCTGTGTAGGCAAGCGATGCAAGAAATCAAAACATCAGAAATAGAGAATATTATCATCGATTGTTCGTCCAAGATACTCAGTGAAGTTCTCAAGCAGGCTCAACAAGTTGGCATCTTATCTGAAAAATACAAAGTGATTGTAACATCTTTGGTAAGACATATAAGTTGCGTTATATATACAAATTAAAACAATTGCGCTGTCCTAATAATATTATGTCAAAATTATTTCATGATAGAATCTACGTTCAATCGTCTCGCATAAACTTTATTTTTATTAGAAATCTATTATATCAAAATACATATGTGTGATTACAGTGCTCGTTATAATATTTTAATAAAAACCTAAAATAATTACGTAAAACAATCTTTGATAAAAAGTGCAAAATTTAGTTTGTAAACATAATACACAAATGCTTAGAAATTTCAAAAAATAAATTATTTGTTTTTTGATATTACATTGAAAGCAGAACTTTGATGATATGTAAATTATATGAGTACAATTTATTTTGCACGGTTTATGTTCCATCTAAAAGATCTAATAGTTAAAATGATATATGTCGACGAATATGTATGTATGGCAGGATCTGCAAACTTTGGATTTAGAGCCATATCAGTATTCTGGCGTCAATTTCACCGGCTTGCGCCTGATTGACCCTGAAGATCCGATAGTTCAACAAACTTTAAAGAAACATAAGAAGGAATGGGGCTTAGACAATCCCTCGCAGCTACAAGTTGAACCCGCTCTCATGTATGACGCGGTACAATTATTTGCGAGGGCTTTCAAGCAATTGGAAGATGCCATCAAAGGTGATGTCAAGAAATTGCCTTGTGATGGTAGTGACAGATGGGAACACGGACTGAGTTTGAGCAACTTTATGCGATCGGTAAGATATAAAAAAAAAGCTTTAGTTTGAATATTTTGAACATCTTTTACAACAATACATACAAGATTTTCTTCCAGCCGCGTTACAAACAAATCTTATCACATTATTTCGCTTTCAGACTGAAACACAAGGATTAACGGGCCTTGTAAAATTTGACCGAGACGGTTTTCGCAGTAATATACAACTAGATGTTGTACGTTTGACCGAAAATGGCTTGAAAAAAATAGGTGTATGGAATAGTACAAATGGAAAGAACATTGATTGGATACCAGAACCTAAAGAGTCAAATATCGAATTAAACTTGCAAAATAAAACTTTTATAGTTTTAATATCGCTAACAGAACCGTATGGCTATGTGAAGGAATCACATACGAACCTAATTGGCAACGAACGTTACGAAGGATTTGGTGTTGACATAATTGATAGCATCAGTCAAATACTTAAATTTAATTATACATTGCAAGTAGAAAAGGATTATGGAGTTTTGAATAATAGAACTAAAGAGTGGTCGGGTATGCTTGGAAAAATTAGAACTGATGTTAGTACTAGTTAAATATCAATTAATATCTCTCTGATATTATTTGTAATCTTTTATGAGATTATTAAGATTAAAATTATAAAGTTTATAAATATCGAAAAGAGAAAGAGAAATATATGTATATGATATTCTTTTTTAGCAAGCAGATTTTGCTATTACGGATCTGACAATTACCGAGGAAAGACAAATGGCGGTCGATTTTACAAACCCCTTCATGAACTTGGGTAATACACAATTTAATGTAACGTACAATAAATCTAATGTAGTATACAATTTAATATTATTTATATTATAGATTTTATCAAGTTTCAAATAAATTTCTTCTTTACTATTAATTTATTTACTTCTTATCTTTTATTATTAATTTTACTATTCATTTACAAAATAACTAATTCATATAGCTCATATATCAAGTTTTATATGATTTTACAGGTATTAGCATTTTGTTTCGCAAGCCAGGAAAAAAACCTCCTAGCTTGTTTTCATTTCTATCACCATTTTCAAACGAGGTCTGGTCCTACTTAATCGGCGTATATATCATAGTGTCTTTACTATTTTTTGTAATGGGGAGGCTATGCCCATCAGAATGGAACAATCCTTATCCTTGCATCGAAGAAGCTGAAGAACTTGAAAACCAGTTTACATTTAAAAACGCGTTCTGGTTCGCAATAGGCGCAATTATGCAACAAGGGTCAGAAATCGCACCAATGTAAGATATTTAAAATAATAATAAAATAATTAAAAAATAATAAAAATAATTTCGTTCTCTTTATACATATATGTATATGTATGTACTTTTTTTCTATATACTTGTTTTCTATTTTTTACGTGTTTCTGGAGATTTTCTCTGTGCATATAACTGAATTTCACATCTTAAATAACCATTTTTGCTAAAATTTCACATTATAAATAACCATTTCTGCTTAAATTTTTAATAGCTTTATTTGACGACAAATTTTATATGTATACATATATATATTCCCTATTATATAAAAAATGTTTATAAAATGGAACTATAAATTCTCTTCTATAAATTGTTCACAGAGGTATCTCCACAAGGATGATGGCAAGTTTATGGTGGTTCTTTTGCCTTATTATGGTGTCTAGCTACACCGCTAATCTGGCGGCATTTTTGACTGTAGAGACTCCAGTAAAGTCTTTCGAAAATGTTGAAGAATTAGCAAACGAGAATCATATCAAATATGGAGCTAAATATGCAGGAGCCACGTTGAAGTTTTTCCAAGTTAGTAAATTCTTCTATATTTGTTGTGATATTTTATGCAAAAATGACAAATTATAACGATAACATCGCTTTTATACATATGACATAATAGAAAATTTACATGATATATAGAATACACTCGCGCAAACATTTGATAATTGGTTAATAATATAACGTAATTCTTCTAAAATATTATTTAGCTTATCGATTTTCGAAGCATAACAATCTCGTTAAATCTTAAATAATTAAGAAATTACACAATATATAATGCTGTGATTTTACATTTTAACTAGAAATAATATTGTAAAAAATGTGTTACCAACGTTCATATTAACTTATAAAAAAATATTTCCAAAATGTCAGACATTTAATATATGAAATTCGGAATAATTTTTGTTCTTAGCTTTCAAAATTTTTGAATTTTATTAGTATATAATTACAAATTCCTCTTTTTAAACATGCATAAATTGCTTAGATTGATTTAATTATCTCTGAGGTTATCTAATTATTTTGATGAAATGGTTATTAATCATATAAATCATATAATAATCTAATAAAAAATAATTGGGTACGCAGTGATAGATTTTTCAGGATATTTACAGTACTTGCTATTTTTATAGCATATGAGAGTAATCTCTCTTGAACGTAAGAATCTCATGAACTTAAAGTATCCCATGATTAATCATTTGTCATTTATTTTTTCTGCTTATATAATTTCTTTGTTATAAATATTATTACTATAAATTGCGACGACTTTTCCTACCGTCTCGCGGCTGAGCGATAAACGCGGCCGCCGACTCGTTCTCTCCGTCGCGCGGGTGTAAATTGCGGCGACGAACAGGAGCTAATTCGCCGAACGGGAGATGCGGAATGATCGTTGACAAAAACGGGAAAACGGAGAAAAAGATCCACGCGCCAGGTGGGAACGGGATGTTAGGAGATCCGCGCGTACCGTGACAAGATCCGAGAGATAATCGCGAGAATCGAACTTGGGCGCCAAATACGATCTTTCACGTATCAATTCGCGAAACACAAAATAAGCGCGAAATAAACGCGAAAGAAATTGCCGGAATTCGCCACGGGCTGACTAGCTCGCCTAACGGTAGAGGGGCAGGGCGAGTGTTAATCGAACGCGATAATTTATGCAAGAGGCGACAATTACGGAAACGACAAGCACAACTGAAAGGAAACTCGTAAATTAAACAGAGAAATTAACAGATTTATTATAATAGCGGGAGCCGCAGCTCCTCGAGAATAGTAATGATAAACCGCGCGGATATACGGCTGCGGTAAAAGAAACGCGGCTGCGAGACTGGGTGTTAGACGCGGGGCGCGAAACCCCGTACTGCGTACGCCGAGACCGACCCGTTAGATCGGCCGGAATCTCCGCTCGGCTTGAATTACGCCTCGCACTGCGAAGAAATTGATTAATACGTTCGTCTATAATTCGGGCGTAAGTCCGAATCAATTCTCGATATCACCTCGCCAACGGCGACATTATCGCCCATGGCGTAATTTTTAAAAGACTCTGAAGAATAGTTTGCGACGACTTTTCCTACCGTCTCGCGGCTGAGCGATAAACGCGGCTGCCGACTCGTTCTCTCCGTCGCGCGGGTGTAAATTGCGGCGACGAACAGGAGTTAATTTGCCGAACGGGAGATGCGGAATGGTCGTTGACAAAAACGGGAAAACGGAGAAAAAGATCCACGCGCCAGGTGGGAACTGGGTGTTAGGAGTTCCGCGCGTACCGTGACGAGATCCGAGAGATAATCGCGAGAATTGAACTTGGGCGCCAGATACGATCTTTTACGTATCAATTCGCGAAACACGAAATAGGCGCGAAATAAACGCGAAAGGAATTGCCGGAATTCGCCACGGGCTGACTAGCTCGCCTAACGGTAGAGGGGCAGGGCGAGTGTTGATCGAACGCGATAATTTATGCAAGAGGCGATAATTACAGAAACGACAAACACAACTGAAAGGAAACTCGTAAATTAAACAGAGAAATTAACAGATTTATTATAACTCGCTGTCCCGTGCGTTGCGCATCACGTGTGCGGGTTCTGATCCCGTCGTGACGTAGCTAGTTTGGCCGTTAGATGTTTTGGGTTTCCAAATTGCTGGCTCCTTGCCCCTCCAAGGTCTTCCTTGATTGGCGATCGTATTTTCCGTGACGCTTCAGCGACTTTCCGCTTCTTCTTCCGATGAGGCTCCCAAATGAATTATTCATACGAAAGAAAATCACAAACGAAATTAACATTACGCTCGAAATCTCCATTAATGACGCCTCTCTGGAGGTAACGGTACGGTTCTCGCAATGATTCGACTGGCGCGGCCCTTCAGCCCGCGCTTTTTCGATCGGAGAGGGACTCGGCGGACGCGCGCGAGACGGCAACGTCACAAAATATATATGGCACATACAAAGATAATTTTGCATCGTAAATATTAGCGATAGTGATTAATCCCGCACGAGACATAATCGGTTAAATAGTTATTAATCAGAGTAATAAAATAATATTAGTAAATCCCCTAATTACTTTCAATTCGTGATAACTCTTTTTCCTTTGAATATTACCATTTGCTCTCCATATTTGCACCAACAGTTTTCTTTGTTTCTTGCATATTATTGTAATTATCCCTAGTGAATAACACAAATTTTATAATAATTATCTCTCGCAATAATATTAATCCACAATAATGCCGTAATAATAAGAACAAATATTTACAAAAAAGAGCTTCCCTTCATCCACATTAGATACTCACAATATTAATTGTAATAATAATATTAGACAATATGCACAATAAATATAAGTTATATTCTAATACAGTTCTTTGATAAAGAATTTTGTCAATTCCAAGCATAGCGATCATTCGACGTACAAGAAAATGTACGACTATATGATTGCAAATAAAGATGAGGTGCTACCAAAGGAAAACAAACATGGTGTGGACAAGGTCAAAACCGAAGATTATGCATTTCTAATGGAATCCAGTTCGATAGAGTATATATTATATAATATTTATATTTATTGTATTAACATCTGGTATTATACATACATATGTATATTATTTTATATGTGTAATGTGTATATATATATATACAGAATGTCAGTTTGAAAACTTTCAGCCGGGATATCCTGGGAACTAATAAAGATATCAAAACACAGTTTGGGGAAAATATAGAATAGCAAGAGGGACATCGAATCGCAGTATAACTGTCAAGGGGTGAGTCACTCTCTACGCGCCCCTTACCCAAACTTTAAAATTTCAAATGGCATTACCCCCTTTGTGATATCTCAAATTAAAAGTCTCAACGAGTACTTTTCACCTACACAAAAAAATTCAAATTGATCGATTTGTTTTGGAATGATGCCGGTTCGATTTAAAAAATTGTTATTTCTTAAAGCTGTAAATAAAACACGTTTTATTTAATTTTGGTTTGTTCTTATAAAATATTGTAATTATAGTAAAGGAGAAATAACTTTTGTGGGGTTATTACAGCCTGCAACGATTGAACAACTTCGGCAACGGATCGTAAGAAAGATTTATTCCCAGACAAATGTTTCAAAATGTCAAGACGGAATTTGAAAACAGTCTTTATTATTGCTTAAAAAATAGTAAACACAATTTTGAATATTTACTTAAATAAAAAATTGTAATAAATGGATTTTTATTTCTATTAGTTATAAAAATTAGTGGACAACCTATAATTTTTCTATAAAGGTTATTTCTATTCCTTTACTATAATTACAATACTTTGTAAGAACAAAAATTAAATAAAACGTGCCTCATTTACAGCTTTAAGAAATAATAACTTTTTCAATTAAACCGGTATCATTCGAAATCAAATCAATCGATTTGAATTTTTCTTATGCAGGTGAAAAGTACTCATTGAGACTTTTAATTTGAGGTATCGCAAAGGGAGTAGTGCCATTTGAGATTTTAAAGTTGGGGTAGGGCGCATAGAGGGTGACTCAACCCTTGACAATTATACTGCGATTCAATGTCCCTCTTGCTATCCTATATTCTCGCCAAACTGTGTTTTGATATCTTTACTAGTTTCCGAAGTATCCCAGCTGAAAGTTTTCAAAGTGACACTCTGTATATAATACACATATATATACA